AGATCAGAAACAAGAGAAAAAGAAGGCAAAACGATATTAACAAATTGTATGTATGTATGCGTGTGTGAGCGCGTTTGTCTATGTACTAAAGCAATATCATCCCACAAAGAAAAGGTGCGCTAAGAGAATACTGTGTGTTATAAAACAGTAGTAACATCCATTACAAGACAGACACACACAAGAACAAGGAACAAACGCAGAGTGTATTACACATCGCCTAAATATGAATTGCACAGTACTACCCTCGTAGGAGAAAAATACAATGGTAGTGGTAGTGGCAGTAGTAGCAGTCATAGCAGTGACAGTGAAGAAACCGTGTGATGGAAGAGAAACACCTGATGAAAAGGTTTTACAGAGCCTTGAAACCGCGGGAGAAACAAGCATAGTGATCATGGTCATGATGATGATGATAATAATAATAGTAGTAATAAATAACCTACCTATAGCCAAATGCTTCAATTAGACAAATTTAGTCTTCAACAGTGTAACACACATGCACGCACACACACACACTCGCAGAGAGAGAAACAAGCCAAGGAGGATGGAAGAATATAAAATATGAAAGACAATAGAAATATCCGAAATAACACAATATGACGAAGAAGGTTAACAATACGAGCGGTTAAAGAGGCACTTAAGGTGATGTGTTATTATGTGTGTGTGTGTGTGACTGAAAGCTTTACGGTTAAACAACAAAAAGGCGAAAGAGAGAGAGAAAAAACACCAGGACACACGACACAGATACAATAGACAATACCATGATATTAATAATAATAATAATAATAATATTAGAGTAACAAATAACTGCAGCATATCATCGACGACTCATGCAGAGACACTTGTTTGTGTGTGTATATGTGTGTGCATGTGTATATGTGTGTTTGTTGTCTCTCTTACACCGGCAGAATAAGATTACGACCTTTAAGGACTAAAGAAAAAAAAATAACAGATTATTATTTTCAACATTAGAAACGCACCAAAAATATTAAGACATTAATATGTAAAGAAAATAGGTACAGAATGAGTGAATGTGTGAATGAGGGAATGACGCAGGTCACCTAGAAACCAAGCAAACAACCAAGCACACTTATCAAGATTAATCAACATTTATCCCTTCATCTTACTTTCAATTCCAATTTGACAACACTTTTTACCGTCAAATAGATGGTGTAGCTATGGGCAGTCCACTTAGCCCTGTTTCAGCAGATATACTCATATCAAACCTTGAAAGAACAAAGTTGAAGCATGCAATCGATGCAACACCTTCCTACTGTTGATATGTTGATGACATATTTATAGTGTGCAACAATGAAAGTCATGCTTCACACTTACTAAGACTATTCAATGATGCACACGCCAATATTGAGTTTACTATGGAACATAAAAGTGACGGAAAGTTTCACTTCCTCGACATCACCATGGAACGCCTAGAAAACGGTAGTCATCAAAAGTCAGTTTATCGAAGGCCTACACGGAAAGGACAATATTTGCATTTTAATAGCTTTTGTCCAAATAGCTTTAAACGTGGTCTAGTCAAGACTTTCTAGTATGGAACGAGGAGAATATGCTCTATAGAGAAATTAGAAGAGGAATTTGAGCTCCTTGAAAAGATATTGAAGAGCAATGGGTACCCTTAAAGGTTCATCAACAAGTATGGAAGATCTGAAGTCATAAATGTATAAACAAATCACACTGGGGAAAAAAGCCAATCTACGTTCAGCTGGATTATAAAAGTGAAAACATTGCAGCAATGATCAACAGAAGACTGAGTACATCACTAGCCACAGCCTATCCTGCAGCTAAGCTTGTTCCCGTCTATCGAACAACTTGCTCTTTGGTAATAATAATCTGATAATGTATTGAACCACTGATTCTCTTGAACTCCAACTCAAGGAACCGTGATGCACCAAATAACGCTTATTTATTATTATTTTATTCCTTTACGTCCCCCAGTGGAACATAGGGCATCAAGCTAGAGGCTTGCAGTTTCGGTAGCAGTGATGTTTAGTTTTACGCGGTGGGGTTGCTAACCTACCTAATCTATGCCCAACCTTCTCTCTTTAACAGTCTCATTACTGGTCTAGCGAGGTAGCGGAGTGTGTCGGCCGGGGATCGGTCCCCCCCCCAGCCACCTGTGTAGTTGGCAAGCATCCTACCGCTTTCTCACCGACGCACAAATATAGCTAATCAAGCATCCTTCATCTCACAGTGCTACATCACAGACTGATTACTTATCCGCTGTTTCTATCAGTCAAGTGCCAGAGGTAAAGAACAGCGAGCGGTATGGGAGCCTTTGACATGATATTCGTAATACAGGTCCAAGCCACCAAAGTCTGCGTTTCCCAAGATGACTATCACTCAATGAATTGTGACCTTCACAGTGTCCAAGCACACGCTATAACAGCTCAGAATTCCTAACACGGTGATGTCATAGGACTCCTGCTTCTACTATTACCACCCATATCGAAAACAAAATAACAAACACACGGGAGACTAGTCTATGACACCACCATTGAAACTTCTTTACCCTGAACGGGTTTTTCATGTACCTGGCTAACAGTCACAATTATTTTGACACGGTTGATGATATGTTCTACCCAGTTTAGTTGCCTATGCTGAAGTAGGCGTGAGCAGGACACAAATATGTGACCTATAGACCTAAGACTGAGTACTGAAGCCAACGGAGTTACATCTCTACATTTACAGCAAACAATCGATGAATTTAACCGATGGTTGTTGGCTAGCAGTGGAATCCAGGATGCTCACTTCGTCCCATTTGAGACTCATCATCCGGATGTACCTGCGTTTCTCAGTGAGTGATGATGTTCCCACCGAGGCTCGAACCCAGTGATCACAGTTTCAAACGCCAAAGCGTTACCCACTAGACCACTTGGGCCACGAGAGCCACCTCTTGTGCAACGGGTCATATTAATTTTAATTTAATTTGAGATTTTCCCGTCGAGTGATTGGACCGGAGTGCTCGGCCTCAGGTTGACATGTCGGAGAAATGCAGGTACATCCGGCTGGCGAGTCCCAGATACGACGAAATGCACATCCTGGATTCCACTGCTAGTCACCATCCACCAATTAAATACTAATTAAATGCCCAGACATAGTCGAAGCATTTGCACAAGAAGCCGACATGTCAACCTGAGACCGAGCACTTTGGTCCAATCAATCAACGGGAAAATCTCGAATTCAATTAAAACAGTCGATGAAGTTTAGAAGGCGAATTACTTGTAACAATAATGCATGCTTATTAAACGTAACACATCAGTCATTTATTTCTTTTAGGCGATGAAGTAATCCATCACTCATCGCCTATACTGCTTGATGTACCAGTTTCTTAACGCACATACAAGTTAATCCCGTTCTGTTGAATTCCCAATTCGCACACGCACACACACACACACCGTGAACAGTATAACTGGCAAGTTACGAATTGGCTGGCCTCTCAACCTGAAGGTGCTTGGTACGATCCCTGGTGGGGGGCGGTTCTGGGTGATCACTGTAAAGCAGTCCTAAACTGGGGAGGAACAGCTGTCCTGAACTTCCGGGTTTTCAATGACTCGCCAACTGATTTCAGTTCGTGGCAACACATCTACAGTGACATTAAGAACTATGTTCATAAAGTAAAAACACTAGAAATGCGACTCAGACTTATGTGGTCTGATTATTTATTATTATTATTACTATTGTTCCCTTGGATGCCAAGTGGAACATGCGGCTTCAACAAAACATCTCCACTTTCCTCTGTTTTCTGCCATCTCCTTCAGTCGGCTCTACGATTGCTGATAATCTCTCATCTCTTCCTCACACGATCTCCTCTATGTCACCCTCGCACCAACGACTCACTCACTCGTCGCTCCCCATTTGGATTCCACTCGAACGACGGCCTGTACTGTGCGCGATGTCATTCAACGGTTTCCTCAGTGTATGCCCGATCCATCCATCTCCATTTTCTCCTACATATTTGTTGAGCGATCGGCTCTCGCCTGTTGGTTTGTTCACAACCAGAGTTTCTTGTTACTAATTCTTTCTAGACAGTGATTTGAACTTCAGTATGGAGCCAGAGACGTGGGCAGCTGTTGATGAAAGTATGCCACTAGCCGTTGGAAATCATTTTCGTGAGACTCTAAGATTCTGACCCGTATACACGGACCGACTTGACATTGGTGTTGAACAGAATCCGAATCTTGTTTTTTATGCTGACCGAGTGTGGAAGATTTTCAAACTGGCTTCAAGTTGATGAAGGCGTGCTCCTTTGCTTTTCCGATTCTGGTTGGCTGGTGTTGACATCTTCACTCGTTCCGCGTGTAGTTGAAGGAAGTAATCTCTTTCAAATTTCTTCCGTTGATAGTGAATGGTGCTGGTTGTTGTTGTTTCTGTTGCTGCTGGTATTATTATTATCGCCTCCTTTAATTCCTACAGGAACATAGGGTTTCAGCCGCCCGAGTCTCCATTGCGTTCGGTTCTCTGCTAGAGTTTTCATCTGACTTTAAGTCTGCCCCCATGCTTTTATCCCCTCTTCACATGACCTCCTCCAAGTCACCCTTACACTGACGACCAAATCGCCGCTCCCCTTTCGTGTTCCACTCGAGCGATGGCTTGTCTAGTGATGTCACTTGATGGTTTCCTCAGAGTATGGCCAATCCATCTCCATTTCTTCTTGCCTATTTGTTTCACAATCGGTTCCTGGTTGGTTCGCTCATTGCCAGAGATCCCTGTTGCTGATCTTTTCTGGCCCGCCATCTGATCTTGAGTGGTATTGAGCGAAGACAACTGTTAATGAAGGTAAGTAGTTTGTTTGAGATGCTCTTTATGACGCGCTGGCCAAGTCTCTAATCCGTATAGTAGCAATGAGTGACTTCACATTGGAGTTGAAAATCCGGATCTTATTTTCATTTTCATGGTGAGTGCTGTTGACCTCCACACAGACTTAAGAGTAATGAAAGCCTGTCTTGCTTTTCCGATTCTGGCTTTGATATCCTCGTCAGTTCCGCCTGTAGTTGAAACGATGCTTCCCAGGTAGGTAAAGGAGGCTGTTTTTTTTCAGGTTCCTCCCATTTATGCTGGCTGATTGTTGTCTGTTGTTTTTGTTGTTAGCCAGGAATTTTCATCACCTCCGTCTTCTCTATATTCACCTGCAGTCCCGTCTTCGCTACCTGCCTGCTTTTTCAGTCAGTTTGTTGCTTATCGCCTGCCTGCCTGCCTGTCTGCTGCCTGCCTGCCTGCCTGCCTGCCTGCCTGCCTGTCTGTCTGTCTGTCTGCCTGCCTGCCTGCAAGTCTTCGAGTTAGTGTGATAATTACGCACACGTCAAACCCAGATCTTCTAGAGTCATGTCATTAAAAAATAAACACTAATAATTTCAAGTTATATAGTCTACTTATTATTAAAAATAATTTTCTTACCTCTTGTAACATACAGATAGAAGAAATCAATGTATAGCAGAGTTTGAACACAGCCAGCAACAACAGCCACTATATCATAAACATCTTCAACATAATAACGATATATCCAATTAACTAGATACAAAGCACGATATGATCCTAATGCAAATAAGTAGTGTGCAGTTATTGTCTCCGCTTCACCAGTACTACTAATCATAAATAACTGTGGCAGGATAGCTACTGACTCCAAGTATATTGAAAATGTCCAGAGTACCTGAAAGTGGAAAAGATAAAAGAAAATATTTAAAAAAAAAGACGAGAACTAATGGTGATAATAATCTGCAATCAAGGTGGAAACTAATCAGATGTTCCTACATACCAACACGGATGCTCACCAGTGACTGATTAGAGGATAAGGAAGCTGTCTGGAATGCTAGTACGAAGTTGCCATCATTGGGGCGCCATCAAATCAACTGTGGGGATAAATACTCGTCTGTGACATTGGCTGACGGTGGCGTTAACAACTGTAAGTCGACAGAAGTTTGAACCAACGAGTCGATGAATTGTCTCAGCGGCTAAAAGGTCAAAGTAATCGCCTTACAACCTCAATGTCCTGAGTTCAATCCCAGGTGGTGTTATGGGCACGTACTGCTGAAGTGTCAGCAACTAGGATGAAACAACCGTCTAGTACTCCCTGCTGGTCTTCAATATCCCTCCAACTGATATCAGTCGATGATCAAACATGAAATAAGGAAAATATTTGATGTAATTTGGTGGATGGTGACTAGCAATGGAATACAGAATGCGCCTTTCGTCCTATGTGGGACTCGTCACCCGGATGTACCTGCAATCCCCCAGTTAGTAGTAGTGTTCCAACTGAGGCTAGTACCAAGCATCCATCGTCTTAAACGCCAGTCATCCATTAAACCACCTGGGCGATGAGAGCCACCTCCTGTGCAACGAATGTCGGTTATGACTACTAGTCACCACCCGCCCAATTACTTCAAGTTAATCCTCGGACACACCGTTGAGGCGTCCGAACTACGAGTCAGCCAACCTATTAACAGATACCAAACATTTCGGTTCAATCAATCAATAGGAAAATCTGAGTTGAGTTGAAAACCATAAGTGACACCCGTTGCGCAATAGGTGGCTCTCGTAGCCTAAATGGTTTATTGGATGACTCCTATGTCAGCTAACACTGTTAGACGAGAAAGCCAACAACTCAACATGCGCAACATGTTCTAGCCATCTCAATCGATGTAGTTGCATAACCGCACGATTGACCTACCCTTTTTACCTAACACACAACGCCTAATCACAATATTGTTTAGTATATTTCTGGCCGGAGACAAATAGTATCTCCTTTTAATCGCCATGTGTCTTAAGGTTTCTTAAATCTTCCCTTAACAAAGTTTAGGATGAAATTCACATCCAAACAAAGAAACTGTGGTAATGGTAATAATAACAATAATAATAATAATGGTGGAAGTAATAGAGTGTCAGTAGAAACGAATCAAGAAAATAAAAAGAAAGTTTGAAATAAAGCAGTGGGCGCTGGTTAAGATTTCCCCTTGATTAAACCATATCGACGAAGCCTGTCTTTCGAAAGGTCACATACTTTTTATGTACAGTTCGGACAGGTACCCCAGAGATCATTACGATCTCCAGAAGCGAACTCATGCTTCAACTCTATATATATAAAGTGTAGGCCTCCAAAGCCTCAGGATGGTCGGGGGTGGGTGCCTTGCGCTGCGGATTGGCCACCCCTCCGTACACCTCTTGAAATGCTCCCATATGACCGTGCGTCTTACATAGCCTCTCCTGAGGAAGTCCTACTCACTGCCTTCACGTGGCGGAGGTGTTTTTCACCAAAGTGAGAGGGCAAAAGCGGATGCCCGGCGCTCTTCACCGGGTTGACTGTCCATTGGATGACAGTCTAGGGGAGATGGCTAAACCCTGATTCCAAACCTCCAACGACTGGCGTATGAAGCTCACCGGAGCTCACCGGCAGACGTATGGACAAAGGGCTTATTGGATGCCCTGGATGACTGGCCCCATTCAAAAAGGCGAATGAACCGGACTCCGGTCACCGGCTGCCCAATGGATAGTGGACTCCCTACTCCACTTCTACTGCCACGTAGGTCACACTTGGTTGTGTAAAGGCTAGAGCTGCACTCTCAAACAAAAGGCCAAGCGATGCTGGGGACATCACTCGTACCAAATTCCCATGAAACTTCATGAACTCTCTTACAAACAACTCTCACCATGCTACGGCGTTCCCGGTAAGCGACGCGCCCTGTGCTCACCCGGTGGCCAGTGTGAAAAGTAAGCCAGCTGGGAAATTAATACTTAGAAACCAACTATTTGTTGGCTGCTGGAACGTTAGGATGCTGTTGGATCCTGGTAGCCATCCTGTCACCATGCGTTCTTTATATGACTACCAGGTGGACATAGCGTGTCTATCTGAAGTGAGGTTACCCGATCATGGCTCCCGCCGAACAGCCGTACCTGGAACAGATTCTTCATTCTGGTTGTTTCATAATGGACCCCAGAATAATTCGGGACAACATGGGGTAGCATTTGCTCTCAATAACAAAGCCAATAATGCCCTAATATCATTCGAACCGGTCAACTCCAGAGTTGCAATCGCTAGGTTCAAGGGTTCCCCGCTCGACATTTCTGTTCTCGCTGTCTATGCCCCAACCCTCGACTCTGATGAAAGTATCAAAGACGAATTTTATGACAATCTTCAAGAGGCAATCAACAAAGTCCCAAAGCGTGACGTTCTCATAGTAGCCGGCGATTGGAACGCCCGCACTGGCCCTTCAGACGACGCGACAAAACACATACTAGGCAAACACGGTCTCGATCAGCGCTGCCGTAATGGTGATAGACTTTTAGCTTTTTCTGACTACAATCGATTATACATCACCAACACTCGATTTCAACACCCTAGAAAACATCTCACCTGGTATTCGAACGACGGTCGCACTGCACATCAGATCGACTACATCCTAGTGCGCTCACGCTGGATCTCCTCGGTGGAGGACTGTCGATCCTATCGTGGCGCAGAGGCCGGAAATAAAGGGGGATCAGACCATACTCTAGTTCGGGTGAAATTCAAACTTCGTTTAACAACACGCCAGAAGGCGCGACCTCCGAAGCATATCAATGTTGCCCCGCTTCAATGTTCGACAAAGCGACAAGCCTTGTCCAAACAAATTCAGGCCGAACTAAGCGCAGCAGATGAACCAACATCCACATCTTCTAATACACCTGAGACACGATGGAATCATTTCAAAGAAGTGGTCTCTAAAGCTTCAATGTCGCATTTGGGTACCACATCCAACAAGACTGGATTTCAGAGCACACCATGCATCTATCCTCGCAAGCCAGAGACGCTCGCCTGGCAAAGTCTCCAGCTTATCGCTCCCTCAGGCGCAAAGCTACGCAGTCTGCTAGGAATGACAGAAATCGCTATTGGTCTAATGTGGCGACTAACATGGAAGCAGCATCAAATGTAGGCGATTTCGGAAAACTTTACCGCCTCATACGCCTATCATCTGGCAAACGCCTTAACAGTCATGCTGTGTTACGCACAGCATCAGGAGAAATTATTTCGGACACCAATGGTAAGATGGAACGATGGGCCGAACATTTCAAGCAGCTACTCAATCGCAACGCTGGTCAACCGTCTCATCGACCGATACGACACTTATTAACACCCTACGTAGTTGACTGCGATCCACCCACTCCAACCGAAATAGCAAAAACAATTAACAGACTCAGAAACAAAAAAGCTCCGGGCGAAGATGGTCTACCTCCAGAAATATACAAGGCCTGCACTCCAGCGCTAATCAATTCGCTGCACTCGCTGTTCTGCTCAATTTGGGATTCCGAAACCATTCCTTCCGATTGGAGCACCTCAGTTCTGCAACCGTTCCACAAAAAGGGAGACAGGTCACTATGCGAGAGCTACCGAGGCATAAGTCTGATTGATATCGCTGCTAAGGTTTTTGTTTCCATTCCCCTGAACCGCTTCGCTGCCGAACGCCGCGTGCGAACAAGGCCCGGAATGCGTTTCTATAGCTGAGGAGCGTTCTATGGAGCAAAAGAGAAATTAGTCTCAGGACTAAAATCCGGGTCTACCAAGCCTCCATACGACCCGTTCTCCTGCATGGCTGTGAAACCTGGCCTCTTCGCGCGGAAGATTTACGCAGACTCGAGGTAGTAGACCATTGGTGCCTCAGGTACATTCTGCATGCTCGTTGGCAGGACAAACTCTCCAACGACGAAGTGCGTCGTCGTTGCTACAACATCAACCAAATTCCAGTACTGGTCCAACAACGTCGCCTTCGGTGATTTGGCCATGTTCTGCGCCGACCAGGTGACGATCTGGTCAAATCAGTTCTAAGTCCCTCGCCATTTCCATCTTGGCGATGTCGCAGGGGTGGACAGCTGAAAACATGGCTTGGTACAGTCAAGGCTGATATGGAGTGCCTGGGGCTACAAACCGTCTACGGACTCCGTCTGTGGAACAAGAATTGGATTACCCTGTCGCAAAACCTTGCATCAGATCCCCGCGCCTGGGCAGCGATGATTCGAGGTGTTCATGAAGCCGGCTCATCCTCCCGTAGGAGATAGCCGAAGTAGTATAAAGTGTGGGTCCACGCTAACAGTGTACTGCCTATTACTTCACCCCGTAGTCTGTCTGTCTGTCTGTTTTCGACACAGAACTTTGCACAAATGTGCGGAAGTTCAAGTCGCCACACTCCGTGTAGCACGCGAAGCAAGAGAAGAAAGTACAAGAAAAGCATAATAGAGAGAGTAAACAGAGATACAAGACAAAAGGAACAGTAATATCGAAGAACGAAACAGTTTCATTGAAGATCATAAGTCACAAGGAGTGGATGCATCTGCGCCACTGAGAACGATTTTGAGCCATGTCACCAATTGTTTCCAACCATAGATTTTTATCGTCCAGAGGACCCCAGCCTGGAAGTCTACACCTTTCTACGTGGCTTAGACCAACTGTTGTGGATTTCATTGACTGATGCCAAGTTTTTGTTTGACCGCCGCTAGCTTTTTTCCAGCCTGACCCTATATCCGCTAACATTGCTCGTCGAGGGAGGCGATGGCTTGGCATACGTAACACATGTCCTAACCATCTCAGTCTTTGTAGCTTCACCCCGTAGACACACAACATATATATGTATACATATATAACATTGATCTGATATTTTTTACGCCCTTCAAATAAATACGGGCGCGTGAGGTGAAATATTTCAATTTTCAATAATGAAAAATACGTGGAAAAAAAGACATTTAAAAATTGAATAACTTGACTAAAGTCTATGTATTAAACACGCGATTTCACAGTGAACTCATATGTACAATAACAGGAACAGAAACAAAACAAAATAATACACCCAAGTACCTTATATGTATGTGTGTGTGAGGAGTGACTGAATATTATGCGAAACTATAATCTGTGAGCAAGCAATATTTAAACAAAAAAAATCGTTAGATAAGTTAAGGCACAGTAATAATAAAAAGAAGTTAGGAACACTGTAGTCACTATCACTAACACAAAAGAAGAGTTACTCCGATTTAATCCAAGTGCTTATTGGAGATTATTTTCTGGTAAACTTTTCAGCGATCTATTGTAAACGGATAAAAAGCTAATCTTTTTGAGGTATTTACTGAATACTGTCATTTACATGGAGTGTGGCGACTCGAAATCGAACTGTCTTTACAAATGAGCTTATAATCAACAATTACAGTTGCAGTTCGTGATTGATAACAATGACTGGGCAAATTCTTTGTTAACTTACTCCAACATTATTTACACAAGCAGATATAATGCAACATAATTCCCCTTTATGTCTGTAGCCACTGAAAGTGGAAGATATGACTGTCTTTGACCACAGATACTTACGTCCTGTCTCTCATGTTAAGTGGTATAATACAGTGAGCAGCACTGTGATTAAGAGTAGAGTGCGAGGTAAAGAATAGAAGTTAATCTATGAGGCTGTGAAGCCACATTGATTGAGACGACTAGGACACATCTTGCGAATGCCAAGTCAACACATTCCTCAACAAGCAATCCTAACCGATATGGGATTAGGTTGGAAAAGAGCTACGAGTGGTCAAACCAAAACGCGATATCAGGTCATGAAGTCAGTGACTGACTGTTGGTTTGAGGCATGTAGGCCAGTATAGATTACCCAGTTGGCATCACTGGGATGCTAAGAGTCCACAGCTGGAAACCACTGATGATATATGGAGAGAAAGTTTTCGTAGTGGTGTAGATGCATTCACTCTGTTCAACCTCCTACATCCATTAGGTGCAGTGGCACAGCGGTTAAGACGCTCGCCAACCATCCACATGGTCCGGGGTTCGATCCCCGGACAACGACGCACTCCTCTACCTCTCTAAGTCAGTAATTAAACTGGTAAAGAGGAAAGGTTGGGCATGAGGCTAGCAACCCCATCCTGTAAAAATAAATATCGCTGCTACAGAAACTTCAAGCCTCTGGCTCGAAGCCCTATGTTCCACTAGGAACGTAAAGGAACCAAAAACATCCATTATGCCTTTCTGTTTTCCATATGATAATCTTTTTTTTTCTTTTGTACATTTATGCTCATTAGATTTTTTTCTAATCTCTTTTTTTTCTTTATTTTCTTTTTACGCAACATGGAATGTGGAGAATTTAATTTCCTTGCAAATTTTAGTCGGTCAATCAGTAAAACATGAGCGACGAGGAATGCCCTAAACGAGGAGATAACAACAAAGTAGGGAGGAAAAGGACAATTAAAGAATAACAAAACATGCACATAGAAATCGCCTTTCGTCACGCGCTGTACCACTTTTCGAGTAAACTCTTAAGTATACGAAAACGAAGATGACTGGATATATTCAGTTAGGACGGATTAAGTTTTAAACAGCGGAGATTTGTAGCACAGCAGTGTTATGTGAGATGGGTAGTTTAGTTGTCTTACTAAACCATGTCTTCAACACTTACTTCAACTAGGTTTTATCGACATACACTAACTACAAACATCAAAGCGACGTGATGCAGGTCTTTATTAATCAGGCTAACGCCAAAACAGAGTGAAAGGTGGCCTAGAGGGGTACATATCACCTTTAACTTTCGTTGAGTCACAACACCTAATGATCATTTCTATTGTTATTTATTTTTGGAACCCTTACGCAGTACTAAGTAGATTAACTGAGGAAATTACGAATTGTGAGAAAATCCTACTAAACAGAAAAAGTTTGTCTGTGGTTATTATTAATTAGTTAATTTATGGGAAAAGCCAACCAGGTTTACCTTCATGAAACACATCTATATTCTAAGGTATGTTTAATCCATTGTAAGTACCAATAAATATTAGAATATGATGTACTTGTGCACATGATACTTTCATACAGCAAACTTGCTTGTACATCCATGCCACATCATTGCAGAATTAGAATTTGACTGTACTAATGGTCATTTGCCATCTTACAAGAGTTACTTCAATGTAGCGACTAATTCACTTATTAAAGGAGAACTTCATATATAAAAGGGATCAATCAAAATTGCCATGACTTTTATAATCACACAAGAATGAAAAAACTAAATGCGACCAGACAGCTATAGGAGATTTAAGGGAAATATAATAACTAGACCACTAGTGAGGACTTTGAGGATCTGGATGTTTACAGTGAGTGAATACGTCCATACCACTGCAAACGATTTTCAACTATGTCGACATTTTCAAACTATTGACTCTTAGAATACTGATGCCATGAACAGTTAAAATCACTAATAACCCAAGAACAATATTTAAGTACATGTTGCTTTTTGCATCAATTTTTCCAAGTGTTTCAATGCAAATTAACGTCCTAACAGGAAAAATGTCAAATGCGCTGCGAAAGCTAAATTCCACTGCTACAATGCTGCTTTTGCTTATTCCATGTCATTGACAGTCAGTTCCATCAACGTGGGGCGGTGGAGATTATTTGACTGGCATCTTAGAAATTCTGCGAATTAATAGCTCGAGAATAGTATCTAAAAATCGTTCGCAACAGCGCATATGTACCCACCCCACAATGACGTCTAGGAATCCCTTACCCATAGTTCCACACACACCTCCCATAGTCTCTTTATTGAATTTTGTTTCATGACTTTTACGTGCTTTTATGAATTGTGGCAATTCTTGCTGAGAATTCCTCGGTTGACAAATCAGTCAGTCATTACACCTAACTAACTTATGCAAACTGCCACCCCAACAGAAAACCTTCGGTACGTTGCGTAACCTAAGGTTGACTGTTACACTTGCCACCTTTGCTTTAGTCAAGTTCCCAAACGGGAACTTTTGGTAGTTTAGCCAATGACCTAGTGGATTGGTGCCGTCCATAAAGCACAGGTGTTAGTAATTAGCACATTGACACCTACGGACACATTATTAAGAAAAAAAGCTTGAAATAAAGCTGAATACATTAATCTGTGGTATTAATAAACGAGAACGTGGCTTTTTGGCTTAAGCACTTCGAACACAACTCGTTTTAATGTGGGCAACTGGGAAATGCCATAGGACATTACATCACAGTGGCTTAAGCATGGTCGTCGAAAAAGTTCTAATAAGTTGAGATTAATAATAGTAGTAAAGTGATCATTACAAAAAAGCCATAAAACTGGATTATTTCATAAGAAAATGATAGATCATACAAATCCCAACATTAACTACCTTAATACTCAGTCAGTACTGTCTCATTAAAAAACCACGGTAAATCAAGACTACCTCATACAGGCGGAATGGAATAAAATTGAGTAGTGTCACAAACTTTAAAAAAGCCCACCACAGTGGGTCTGTAAAGTTAGAAACAAAACAAATAATGACTTCGAATTCGTTCTAGTTACGTCCGACTGGTAACACCACTTTTCTATCGGTAAAATCCTGGTTGACAAACAGTGGAAAACTAGTGATAATTGTACAATACGTAGTCTGTGAGTTTAGGCAACAAGATTGGGCCACTTCCTATCACCTTTAACCTCTGGATGATCTATATTCATGCCACCTGTCAATCACATGAAAATGTCGCCAACGTATCGAAATTGACAGTCATGAAATAACAAGAGGTGGAAGATATATGCACTCACCTCCAAGAATTGCAACTTGTGATTCACAAGACAGGCAAGGCCACCAATAGGTATGATAAAATACGGTAGACGAAAAAGGTGGTCATTTGTGTCTAATGTTGCCTTGAACTTCACATACATACAATAGACGGTTAAATATGACAGCACAATAAAAGTAATCTTCATGATGGTATTATAAGCAGATACGTAATATATGAATAAGTCAACGTATCGGGTGGTAAACACCAAAGCAAACATAATTTGAGTTTTCCCTGACAAACCTATTAAAGTAACGATTTTCATATTACGGAAATTCTACCTTTGCATGATCGCGTTGAGTAAATTTTAAGAAGCAATATTACAAGAGCCGCCAGATGGGAAAGGTCCCCTAACAGTCTAAAGATATTCATTTTCCTGAAATGAGACGTAAAGCCGCCAACAAGGCCACTTTTGAATACGCGCGTTGACTGCGAATTACACGGTCGAGTGTTCAAAGAGCAATGCATACATATGTTGATGCAAATTCTCTCCCTTCATGTTAAATGACATTTCATTTTTTTATCTGGATTTCTGCGTAGCAAAGTTAACGTCTCACTTCTTAAGACCGTAAAAATAAAGTGTTTTGCCTTTTTGGATGTTTATTATTTCGGATTCGGATTTATTGGTTGAGAATAGACGGCTTGGAGCCTATGTTAATCCTTTTCTAGTAAATTTCTGTGGTTGCCCAAACCCTTCTTGAACGAATTAGTTGAGGTTGCAGACACTACTTCTTCTGGGAGTCGGTTCCAATAGTTTATAACTCGGTGAGAACCAGTACTCAACTGCAACATGATTTCTTCTTGGCTTTTGAACTCCCCTGCTATGTCCTCTAAGGTGTTTCGACCCGGTGGGAAGGAAAAGAGAGATTTGTTCAGGTCCGTAGTCATTATTTAAAATTTTAGACATTATGATTAAATCTCTCTGTCTACGGTATGACGGGGAGAAGAGATTTAAACTGTCTAGTCTTTCTTCGTATGATAAGTTAGTCATTCCGTGAACCATACGTGTTGCCTCCCTTTGAACCCTCTCTAGAATTTGTGAGTCCCCTTTTAGAAAAGGACTGGCGGCCTGGATTCAGTTTTCCGGTCTTGACCTCATCAGAGATATAAGTATGGAAGTGAACATATCTCTGGTGATTCTAGTAAAGGCTCTGCGAATTGCCCATAAGGACCTGAAACTACGTGCAGCCACCGCGCGACAGTGTGCTGTAGTTTTTAAGTCGTGCCTAACTATGAAACCCAAGTCCAAGTGAGTCTGAACTGATGGGAGTGTTATTCCCTCTAGTTCGTAGGAGCTCGTGCTTGCTTGTCCAATGCGCATCGTTGCACATTTTGCCACATTTATCGGGAGCATCCATTCTATGGACCACTCTGACAATTTGTTGACGTCCTCTTGCAGCGTGGACGTATCACTGCTGCCCTTCATCCCTCTGCAAATTTTTAAGTCATCCGCGTATAGGACCATAGGGGAGTCGGTGAGCAGAGATAACTCATTGATATACAGAATAAATAGGAGAGGTCCGAGTACCGTGACTTGTGGCACTACGCTACGTACTGCTGTCCAAGAGGAAAGTTTCGAGTTGTGAGGTACTTTATCAAAGGCTTTGCTGGAGTCTATGAAGACGACGTCAACGGGTCTTCTGTTGCCCTTTGATTTGACCCAGCTTTCTCTTTCAGTCAAGAGATTTGACAGGCATCAGAGGTTCCTCCGGAAGCAACGCTGCGCTCTAGAAAGTAAGCTGCTATTTTCCAGGTATGCCATGATGCTTTACTTGATCATTCTTTCCAGTGTCTTGATTACAGTACTGGTGAGACTAATAGGCCTGTAATTTGAAGGGCTTTGTCTTGATCCTCCTTCGTGGATAGGGGTTACTATGGTGTCTTTCCAGTCACATGATAACACTTCATTTAGGAGACATAGCTTAAATATCGTGGTCAAAGGACCGGCTATGTGAACTGATAGCTCCTTGAGAAGCCTCGGATGAAGATTATCAGGACCCATTGATTTCCCTGCATCTAGTTTCCTTAGCAGCTGAGCACGATGCCTTGGTCGATGTCAACGGAATCTATCGCGCATTCCTCCGATGCAGCCAGAGCTGATACTATGGGGAGTGATGACTCCTGAGTGAAGACTTGGGAGAAGTAGTCTGCCTTTGCTTCTGCTTTTTCTTTATCGTTTGCGATTGTATCGTTGTCAATAGTCAGGTTTGGGACACCATTGGATGTTTTATTCCTAGAGTTCATGTAAAAGAAAATTTTCTTAGGTTGTCCTTTGGAATTCTGAGCCAGATGCGCTTCGAACATCATCCTTGATCGACGGATTTCTGCGATAGCTTTATTTATAGCAGTGTTATATAATTCGCTGGTCTCAGAAGTCCCAAGTGTGGCAAACAGGTTCCCAAATTTGTGTTTACATCTGAGTAACTTACGAATCTCTCGGTTTATCCAAGGGGGGCAATGTTCCTGATCCTGTGAGACAGAGCAAGGGATGAAAGGTTCAGTTACCTGGGCGTAAAGTTGTGAACTTGTGTTTCAAGCGGCCTTTATTTTGAGGGAAGATTTAATTGCTACAATATCCCGATTTCATAGACATAACTTAGGCTTATACGTGAAAGAAACTTATTACCCTAGTTGGAATAAAGACAAGTTGCTTAAAAGGTACGGAAGAATTTATTTTTTCGTTTGTTCATATAAATGCTATTGCTCATCGAGCTGCATTTCAATTCCATAAAAAGCAAGAGATTGTGAATGCCTTGACCTATTTCTGCACAGATAAAACTGAAATTACTTCACAAGAAAGTCAATATTAGGCTCAGTAAGTAAAGTACAAATTATCCAATTAAGAGTTAAGAGTAAATATCTAAATTCTGTGAGCATGCACATGAATAAAAAAAATAAAACATCTGACAAGGAAACTATATTTTTAAGATATCGAGAGACAAACCATCAATTATAAAAGTCCAGTATGTATTACGCTGGACATCGCGCTGTCCTCGGAAGACTTTCAGAGACAATTCGTAATAACCAACGCGAAAAACCAGAACACAGATTGGCAACTCGAGAATCCCTTATTCTTAGGCCAACATATAACCAACAGTAAGGTTATTATACACAGGATCTAACAATAAATGTTATAACAACAAATCACCATAACACTTCTGATAGTTTTCTCTCTTCCACCGAGTAGCAGACGATGAGACGATGACTGGCAGATTGACGATTCCCGCGAAAAATATGGAGTTGGTTTGAGCAAACAACCATGAATTGATCGTTCAATCTTCAACTACATTGACACTCCCCGGCAAAAAACCGATCCATCCCTTTTCTCCATCACGACCAATACACGTTGACTTGGATTCCACTGCGAGAACCTGGGTCACACGGACAAAGCTGAAATTGAAAACAGACAGAAAAGTCAACACACCACAGGCATACCCACGGTACAATCTCACTCATCGATGACGACCTACACCTTCGAATTAAAGGCATCCTCTTGACATCTTGTAACACAATCGCCACTTGCTGGAATCACTCTTGCAGAACGCAACGTGACCATAGCACCACCTCATGATACTCTTCTCACATCCTCTTATCTACTCGCTAACAATTACCACCGCAATCGCTTGTCACTCATTCTGTCTCAGTTCTAGTAACGGCGACGTATGCAAGCCTCAGTCGTCTACACACTCGCTCCCCGGCGTGTGGGACCACAGCTAATCCTTATCTCCGTGTGCATGTCATTCTCAGCACCAGCCCAGCCTCCCCGGCGTATACGACGCATCTGCTAACTTTATTATCAATCAATTCATTCACAGATGTAGAAGACTAGAAACAACTTCAGAAGTAAGCACGACGAAAATTTCAACTCTGTATCGCTGTACGTTCAACGTTTGCGTTACATTTTTACGTGATTCGTTACATAAAATTTATTTTGTTGTAGTACTTGCACAAGTACTATACCACTTCCATACTTGTAACCACTAACTCTCATTTCTAATAGTTATGGTTAATCAAAGTAAAAAGCAACGAACCCAATCCCCTGTAAAACTGGTGTCTAATTTAACGTCCTTGATTGCTACATCAAGCAACACACCCCCAACAAACGGCTATAGTGAGTCACATAACTCACGTGTATGCCGTAAGCGTCGAGCTGAAACTGAGGATAAAACTGTACTGACAGCCAGTATTAGCACTACTCCTAAAAATTCGGTACCCTCTGCTCATACAGAACTCCTCCCTTCACCTTATGTGCTTATGGAGAAACTCCAGCCATCAAGCTCTTTTTCAGTACTATCTTCAGAAATAGAACTTCTAAAGTTGTCTATAGGAGAACTTAAGGCTGAGTTAAGGGAAATAAAAAACAGTAAGTCAGTAAATGCTGGAAACATCGAAACCAATACCGAGATATCCAAATTATCAGATCAGATCAGCGATATCAGATCGCAGGTCTGTGAACTGACACCTCTAACTATCCTCATGAAAACGGTAAACCTTAACAAGCTTGACACAGAATCGGTAACTAAGGTAGATAACCTCATTAACTTTGTTACCACAGAAGTAACAAAACGACTCGACGCAAAACTGAGTGCTATTGTCTACAACGTTCCGGACAATGAGGCACTAAAAAAGGTACAGCGCATCTTACTTAGTGAAGCGAAAATGCCTAACTCCAAGACTAAGTGCTACAGGCTGAAGAAGAGTCAACATGAAAAGTGTTGTCCTATTCGTTTTCAGTTCGAAACACCGGCAGAGACCAGAAAATTCATTCACTCCCAACACACCCTATCGCAAGCCAGAAACTACAAACATATAAAGGTCGGGGTGGACAAAACAGTCATAGAAAGGCGCGCATACAATTATCTCGCTAAGACTAATTGTGAAATAGGTAATAGGACATTGCAAGCAGCCATTATTCCCAACCCTGTGAAAGATACAGTAGACCCCACCGCACCACCCCTCTCAAAACACACAGAAATATCCCATCAGAGTGCAACACCAGCCGAAAGGCCACTAGACTGTAACCAAATAAATAATAAAACCATACCACCCATCACCGCAGAATCTAAAATGCCACTAAATAACCCCAGAAAAAAAGTTAAAACCCCCCGAAATTCGACTTTGTCCTCTCCTAGCTATAATTCCATTGGTAAAGATAAGGAAAATATGCCCCTAAATCATACCAACAAAAACAGTGGCAGCTTAAATAAGCCCACACTCCCCACGGTTAATAGTATTAGCACTCACAACGTGCTAAATCGCACCGTGGCACACACTAATATCCAATGTCACAACGATGTCACCCTAAATAGTACAAGTGGTAATAGTCAGAACTCGGCTACCAACAACTCAGGGTCTTCAGAGTATGGCACACA